TTCTTTTTTTTTTTTTTCATTTTAGTTTGCTTTCTCTAAAGAGCACTTACATTGTTCCATCAGGAAGATAAATTACTGTGTAATATCTGGAATCAATGAGTACTGTTTCATATTTTTACAAATTTCTGTAATGTCTGGTTTTATAGAAGACACCTGGATGTTCATCTCTACTTCTGCATTCATTCTGTCGTAATACATTGTTTTGACCGAATGAAGAAAATTTGGCCCCAGTTATGCTACTTCCATAGCCTATTCAAAAAATACTGGATATTTTCGTAACTACACCAAAACTTAAATGACCCTTTCTTTAAGGATAATTGCAATATAGAATCAAAACTCTTACTTATAAACTTTTTTTTAACTTTTGTGTATTTGTAAGATAATAGTCATGGAAAGGGCAGCTTTGTCGCTGTTACTCTGCAAATGACAATAAGGACCCTCAAGGGTGCCCCGCTGTGGGTCTGGACCGCAGTTAGGGAACCACTGATTTAGTGACAGTTACCCAGGCAGGAATAGGGCGTGGTGAGTAGGAAGACAGCTTCTGGCCTGGTCCTGCAGTTAAGACAAGTTCCACCTGAGAGGAGAAAGCAAACATGATACAAAAATGAATAATAATGTGAAATAGATATATAGAAGTGACTTAACGTTAAAAAAATTAAATTACCAATTCTTAAAAAAAAGTCTTATGATTAAAAAAAAAGCCAGGCCCCAATTCTTGCTTCCTTCTGCCTCCTTCCTTCCTTCAGGCAGCTAAATTCCTTCCTTTCTTGAATTCTCTGCTCTTCCCTCAAACCTTTGCTCACTGTCAACGTGCTCTCTGTCACTCTACAGAGCCTGTCGTCAGTCCAGTAGAGCTTTGATGCACAAGTCACTGTTACGCCCCACCCCAAAATTTGATCTATCACAATACATCTTTGAGTTATTGCAGCTCTAGCGTTTTGACACGATACATTATGGTAATCCGTGGCACATAGAGACATTAACACTCCCGACTTTGACAAAATACATTGTGAAGTCTTTGAAGGCACCATTACAATTTATCTTGTCATTCATGAGGAGACCCAGTTCAGCATTCGTGTAGATGAACACAGTATGGCTTTTGTTTCATATAATTGCTTGTGACCTTTTTAATTGCTAATTGAACAAAATACCAAAAGGTTACATTTCAATTCAATTAAGTTTGGGGAATGGCATTTTTAAGTATGTTTATTTTTAAGACATTTTGGTTCTGACTACCTTTTCCTTTGAGTAGATAAAAGATGTCTTCTCTTAATGTAAGTGGGATTTTAATGTCAAATTAATAATGCAATAATAATTTTAATATGCAAATGCTACATGACAGGCATCTCCCATATGTGATCGGTTCTCCCCTTTCCAGAAGAACACAAACACTAAAGGCATATGTGCAAACGCAGAACTTTCCTGATCAAAAAAAATGCTTTTGGTATGATGCTCTGCTTCAGACATTCATCTTTAGATCAAATGCCTATTGCATGCACCATCTGTTGGCCAGTTTCTGTCTTGTCCTATTTTCTTTGCATTCTGTGGTGAGTTCATAAGCTCCTTATCCTCACCTCGTCCTCCAGTCTAGCTTAGCGGCCTGTGGCAACTTGTGTGGTTGACTGATAGGGATGCACAGACGTGCCCCTCAGAGCAGAAGCGTTCCTGAGCCTGCCCAGGGAGCAGGCCCTGGACCTCCAAGACCAGACCGCCCGCTGGGGTGAGCGGTAGGGACTGGAGGCGACTGAGGCACTGCTCCTTCCATCGCTGCTTCATCAGGCACTGTTGCCCTTCTGGTGAGCGACACACAACCCCCCTCCCCCCATGTCAGCTGGAGCAAGGCTTAGAACTCACCCACGTATCGAGGACTTAAATCCTCAAGGGGGATATGAATTTAACTGTCAGAGAGGAGAAGGTCAATGCCAAAAGCATTAGTGTGTTGAGCCAGCTCCAGCTATATAAGTCTTGAGCAAAATTAATATAAGGAAATTGACAAGCCTCGCTGGTTATTCCATAGCTTTAAGACCTCTACTAAAATCCTATCATCTCATCTGCCCATTATTAACATTTCAGCAAAATATAAAGTTTTCATTAATCTCCCACAGCAAATTTAGGAGTGAAAACTGGCACTTGTTTGAGCTTTTAGGACTACATTAGCTGGTGTATTAAACAAAATATGTCATTCCTCAGTAGCTTCTGTAAGAAGCTAAATCAATTTCCAGCCATATTTATGCACCACTTTATCTAAAAGCATCTGAATTATCATTTACAGCTAAGATGCTTTATTAGCAGCTGGCATTGAAATTGCTCAGTAGAAATTATATGTCACGTTATAGTAATTTTTAAATTGGTTTTAATCCAACATCATAAAATGTAAAACTCTTTTAAGTGTGAGGCTTTCCCTTTTTTTCTAATAATTGGCATTTTAGTATAATAAGGTGTTATCTCTCTAATCAAATACCTGCAATATTTAGAAAATGCTAATTAGTAAAGAAAACAGAAGCTTTTGACCTACGTTGTACCTTACAATAACATTTTCTCAGAAAAGAGGACTTGAAGTGACTTTCAAAACTTGAAAGGATTTTAATATTTTGCCAGAGTTGTCCACAATTCTCATGTATATAAATACTTCTAAAATAGAAACACATACACTCTGCTAGTCCTGTTTCAGTAAGATGTGTATATAAATAGGAAAGATTATTGGAAATTCTAACTCTAGCCAGCTGCTCAGTGTGCGCCCAGGAGACATCGGTGGCCATGGTGGTGGCATCTCTGTCCAGGGCACAGGAAACAGGGCCGCGCACTGGCCCTCGAGGCCTTGAGCGCAGCTCCGCTCTGCCCTGGGGAGCAGACAGATGTTGTGACGGCTGTCACCTCTGTGAGCCGCGCCTCCCTGTGGGCATAGCACCTGCTCTCCATGCAGCGGCTGCCGTCCAGCTCTTGCTTTCTCCTGTGGCAGCGTTAGCAGAGCCTGGCCCACAGCGGCGACTCACCCCGCCTGCCCTCTTGCTGTGCACAGTCTGGTAGCAGCAACAGGTCAGTGCTGCCTGTGGTAGTTATTCTGAAGGCGAACGCAGGGTGCGGTGACAGGAGACGAACTACATCTCGGCCTAGGGTCAGGGACGTTGTCCTGGAGCCTCACTTGACGGGAGGGGCAGGGAGGAAGTGCAGTGAGGACAAGGGTGACGTGGGCAGCGACAGTGAAGTGCATCTGAGCTCAGCTGGGGCTGGGTCACAGGTGCTCAGTGAGGGGCCCACTGAGGCAAGGCTGCGTCAGCACTGGGACAAAGGCAGCATTGTGGCTGCTGCCACCAGCGTGTGTGGAGTTGAATGCAGAGGTCCTAGTAAGGGAGTTCAGGAACCTACGTTGACTTAAAAGCCTGCTGTGGAAAGCAAGGCTAGGGTAGGAAAAGGGGATAAGTGACGGGCTACCTGTTCTGTAACAGAGTTTTCCAGTTTGGTACCTAAATCGAAAGTTTTCCACTCCTCCACTCCTTGAGTTTTACTTGTCACTTCTCACACATACCTTCTCAGGGATTCTCTCGGGGTTCCCTGTATTCATTTCCAGGCATTCCACACAGTCCCCTGCCTAGGTGGCCTGTGCCACTTGGGTCCTCCCCACTGGTGAGTGTCCCCGGCAGCTACCCTGTCAGAAGACTGCATTTCAAACCCTGGGAGGTGGGAGGGGATAATTTAGCTTGCTTAGTGTGACCTTGGGCATGTGACTTGGTCTTCCAAAGCCTCAGAGCCCCCAGGTATGTAATGGAAACTTTAAAGGCCTGCTGGTTGTCATAGCCTTAAATGCAGGCGTAAAGGACTTGGCATCAGGCCTGAGATGTAGTAGCACATGTATAGAGTAGCTGCTGTTAACGCATTTAGAGCAAGCCAGTGTGCTGCGCTGTCTGCAGAAGAAGAGAGAAAGAGATAAGTAAGAAACTTCCCTGAGCCTCCCAAAGCTTCCAGAGGAGGCCAGAGCAAGCACTGGGTTCTAGCACAGGGCTGGCTGGTGCTCTGGGACAGGATGAAAGCGGCCATGTTGCTCTTCACTAAGCGTGTTGTGTCAGAGTCTTTCACTACCTTTTACCATCCTGTAGATGACGAAAACTCGGGTTCAGAGAGACAGTCACTCACCAAGATCACACAGTAAACTAGAGGCAGAGCCCAGGGCAGCTAGCTCCAGGGTCTGCCTTGGCATTCGCTGGGTTGGGGGTTAACAGGTCAGCGTATGGGAAAAGGGATTACCCCCAGCCTTGTTCTGAGTAAGTCCCGAAAGTAGAAAATCCACAAGTGACTGCAGTCTGAGGACTTGGGGAGCAGCTGAGAAGAAGGTGTGTGTGAGAAGTGCCAAGTAAAATAGAGAAATTCTATTTCAGCCACATTAAGAAAGATGAAAAAGTGTGCCTCACTCAGGAGGTCCGGGGAAGCCAGGGAGCGTCTGAGCATGAGTGCTTTCTGTCCAGTCTAGCATTTCAGAGTCCTCGGCTTGCACAGAGCTCCCACTCAGCATTTGGGTGAGTGGCCAAAGCTTTCGAAGGGTGGACAGAGTCCTGGTTGACTATAGCCTGGTGACAGGGGGACACCAGCGTGAGCCAGTGGAATCTTGAGGACAGAGATTCTTCAAGAATATGGCTTCATTTTATGGTCAGGAAAGTCACTACTGGAAATAGAAACCAGGTAAGTGACCACCCACACTTCTGTGAGCCTGACTTGCTCCCATAGAGCCTGAGCTGCTGGCAGGCATTGTTCTTCTGTCCTTCTGTACCCACGATGTCCAGCCAAAGGCCTGCCATAGGATAAGCGGTATTTGTGGGATTAATTGTTGAATGATTAATATGTTACCACGCTGTTTACTGGAATGGCATTATTAAGTCATCACTCAGCCTTTTCTTCTCCAAATTAAACAGCCCATATTATTTTAATTTATCCCAAAGCATTTTAAGCAGACACCATTTGCCAAGCCTCATGTATCTTTATGTGCTAAGCTGCGTTTTCCTCCCCAGGTTCAAGGGCAGACGGGGTTTTTGAGGAGGACTCACAGATCGACATAGCTACAGTCCAAGATATGCTCAGCAGCCACCACTACAAGTCATTCAAAGTCAGCATGATCCACAGACTGCGCTTCACAACCGACGTGCAGTTAGGTAAGTGCATGAGTGGGCAACGACCTGAACCGTTTGTGGCCGCAGTCGGCAGGGAACTGGGGAGGAAACAACACACGACTTCCGGGTGAGCCGAACGACTCACGGTGATTTGTTTTCAGAGAAAAGGTTTAAACGATGAAATGTAGAGTACCTCCTTTTCCCCACCTGAGTGCTCTGTCTTGTCTTCTTTTTTATGAAGCAGAAGATTGGAAATAGACCGAACGTGAGACTGTTTTCAAACTGATTGACTTCTGTGAAGTTCCATAATTCTTTTTGTCTGTAATTCCCTCATGCTCTCCTTAGAATTGCTCTGTAATACTGCCGCTTACTTTTTCCTAATCAGTGAATTCGTTGCCTATTCACTCATGCCTTTCTTCAGGAAGCTTTTTAATGACTCATAAGTTATATTTGGATCCTCACCAGGTAATCTGGAACTTTCTACTAATGGTTGGGGTTCATTCGTTCCAATTAAGTGCTCGATATCTGTTTTTACTTAATCCTATCAGGAGTAGAAAAAGTGTCATAGTGGCCAACATGATAGAAATACTTCCTCCTTTCGTAATGGCTGTCATTTCTTGGTGTGTGCTGTGTATTAGGCCCTGAGTGAGTGTTTATTTATAAAGATGTATTTATTTATGCATATAGAACTGGGGTACAGGCCTGAGGTGTGGGGCAGTGAGAGGATTCACCAGAGATAGAGTAGGGAATAGAACAGGCAGACTGATGAAGTATACTGCTGAGGGGAGCAGCAGGTTGGTCAGGAGAGGTCTGCTGTGCCATGTAGGTCAGCTCCCTGGCTGGGGATTGAACTCATGCTGAAATAGCTTCAGCCAGCTTCCTAGTGCTGCTTTTTAACCCATTGCACCACTGGGGGGGGCCCTTTACTGTCCCCATCTTACAGACAGGTAATTGAGGTGCAGAGAGGTGAAGTCTCACATCCAAGCTCACACCGCAGGGGGATGCTGGTATCAGGAGCAGAACCCTGGTCTGGCCAACTCCAGTGAGAGAGAGTCGAGGGGAGAAGGAGGAGCAGCTCGGAGCCAGGCTAACTCAGTCAAGGCAACAGTAGACACCCTGATTCTGCCTTTGACTTCTGCCAGGGGTCTCTGATGCTGCCCCTTGCCTGCCCTCGTTTGTTTCACACGTATATAGAGGAGACAGTTTCAATTCTAATTCTTAAGCTCCACGAATGCCTTGTCTTTGACTCAGTTTTCCAAAGTTAGCATTAGCCTGGCTAATTTGTAATAAGCCTCAAAAATCTCTTCAGATATCACTGGGAGCTTGAAATATGCTGATAGAGCAGAAAGTAAGAGTTAGGTGTGGCACTCACAGGGATTTAAATCATGGCTCCACAAGTCAGCACGAGACCATGTTCTGGCTTAATGGAAATAGCCCCTTGTGGTTGCCGTGGGGAGCACGTAGCCCAGGGCCTGGTGGCCCTGAAACTGGAAACTGTTAAGGAAGCCTGAGATACAGACTCAGGACTAGTGGCCTGGACTCAGTCACGCATTTGTCAGATGCAGCACCATGGACAGAGCCTACTTTTTTTGTATTGTATAGTGAGATAATAGCTCCTGTTCCATGGGTGAAGCATCGCAGCACACGCGAAATACTTAGGAAGGCATCTGGCACATGGCAAGGGGTCACTGAGCGCCAGCTGCTGGTGTGCTGGTGACTCTAACACACTAAGTAGGTCACCTATTTAATGTTGAGCCTTAAAGTTCTTCAGTGTTCTCCCTGGGGATGCTTTCCATGGTATCTCTCAAAGAAATGAAAGTAATCAGGCTGCTCATAAAGAAGTCAGTCACAAAAAGAAGGGGGTTATATTTACCCAGTCATTACAAAACGACTACACTTATAAGATATTCAGAAACACAGGAAAGTAGTGACCATGTAAGGAGGCGTGGTGGTGGTGATCCCGGGGTCGGGGGTGGTGGGGGGTGCTGCTTACTGACTGGTGGGTAGTCTGGGATCCTGGTCAGGTTCTGTTTCTTGACCTGGCTGCAGATTACATGGACTATTTACACTTTGTTTAAAAGTCAAGTTACAGATCCTCGTAGTCGTGTGCACTCTCTATATTTTTAGTGAACAGTTGCTAAAATAAGAGTGTTGCTTGGACATCCGGTTTGTCGGCCTGCAGCACTTCCGGTAACCGATGGTCTGCCCTATCAGAGTCTAGTTTTAAGAAGCCCAATTCAGTAGCCCAATGTCATTAAACCAGAGGGCCCAGGGCAGGAGGTAGGGATTTCCCCAGGTGAGCACCATCAGAAAATCCTCAAGAGGAAAAGCAACGCCTCAGAAAGAGACCACGAGGGATCGCCAGACTCTGACCTGCATATTCCTTCAGGAGAAGAAGCTCCCAAAGGAGTCTGTGGACAGAGGCTGTGCGGGCAGGACTGGGTTCAAGTCCCACCCTTGGCACTTACCTGCCTGCAGTGTCACCTGGGACAAGTCCCTTCCCTCTCACCTGTTTGTTGTTTTTTTTTTTTTTTTTTCATGTATACATGGGAATTATAAAGTTTACCTTTCACAGTTGTCTCTGTGTCTGGCCCATAGGAGCGGCACCCTCAGTGGTAACTTACGTCATCTTGGTCATTTATTTTGCCTGTTTTCCCTCTAGTCTACCATCTTGAGAGTAACCAGATCACTCAGATGAGATACTGGCTCTATTGACAAAGTTTCACTTGTCTCCACAGTGGAGATTTGTCAGATAGAAATGTATGGTGACAGTGATGAAGGTGTCTCTCCCCAGAGCAGTGTTCCTCAGAAGGGAGGTATCTGGAGGGTCCCAGTTACCTCTGGATGCTGCCAGTGGCAGACGTGATGCCCTCTGGTGGAGAGCCCCAGCTCTGAGGCACTTCTCAAACAGTTGGATGTTGTGAGAACATTCATTCCTGTTATGAATCTAAGTCGGTCTTTAGCATTATAAGCAGAAACCTTATTAACTAGTTGTGCAGAATTGTGTGACGTCGGATAAGCTGCACCCAGGGGTGCCAAGTCACGCAGTGAGTACGTAGCTCCCTTCCTGGTCCATGTAGAGGAGTTCACGTTGTCACTTAACACCCTCTACCCCTCCTTGCAAAGCAGCCACACCCTTTCGCAAACACTAACAAAAACTGCACAGAGCCATCCAGAAACTCTGAAACAGTTGCCCACAGTGGGTAGGGCAGTGAGCACACCCTTTATGGCATTCGCGGAGCAGCTGGATTCCGAGATCAGTAAATAATTTATTTTAGTTCAGCTGACTAGCCAGGTGCTTGAGATCTTTCCTGACACTGATGGATGATCTCCTCCGCACGTCCATCCTATGTCAGTCAGGGCCGAGATTTCACTCACCCCCTGTGGCAAGTTCTCCTAAGCGGGAAGTGTCTGTGGGTGGCATTTACCCAGAGCCCTGCTGATTCCACAAATCCTCCCGCCCACTCAGACAGTGGTAGTCAGGCGCGCCCAGAGGCGCCTCCCCCAGCGCGGCTCTCGCCAGCGGAAGGCGTCACGGCGGCCAGTGCTCGGTTCTGCCATCTGCCGTTGTCTCTGAGACAGTCAGGGGCTGGAGAGCCGAACTCTGATAGGTGGCCCAAACTGAAACCCATCTTCCACAGACTGCTGTGATCAAGACGCTTTTTTAGACTCCATCGATGAAACCACGGGCCTGGTTTCAGACCTGTCCTTTTGAAGTGACATTAACAAGAGCAGTGATGTTTTCGCGGCAGCCAGTGCTCAAGCTCTGACCACACGCTACCACTCCGCGGCATACTCTCTTGCTTGCGTCATCACAGCCCTGTTAGTAGCTAGCCCTGATAGTAGCTCCAGTTTCATGTGGGGACCCTGGGGTAGAGGGAAAAGTCTAGTGTGTGATGAAGTTGGGCTCTAACGCTGTCTCAGGGTGAGTTCTGTGGCACATTCCTAACTCACGCCTTGCATGCAGATCATCACTGCTCCAGTACTTTGTCACTCTGTGATAATGAAAGGCGAACGGTGAACTTTCACCCCTGTTAAAAAACTTATTGAATCCACCTACTACATTGATGTTGTTAGTCCCATTTCATGACTGAGAAAACTGAGGCTTGGAGGAGTTAATGAAATCATAAGATGTATGTAAAGCACTCAGTGCTTATTGGCACAGAGCTATTATTTAGGAAGAGATAACTCTCGGCCCCCCACCCCAGCCATCAGGATATACAGTCGAATAGCCAGTCCCCATAGCAGAACTGGACCGAAACCTGATCTCACATGCCAAACCCAATCCATCATGCCACAGGTGCCTCAGTCCTTAATAATTTGCCTTCACAAGGAACTGATTATTTCTGGTTGGCCTTCTCCACAAATCCTGCACCTCTTCACTTTGCTCCCTACCCCAGAATCTGGAGACCAGTGTCTGTGGTGTATGTGCTGCCGTTTCATCCTCCATTCGTGGGGTTCGTCAGCCTGTATGCCCAGACTTGACCACAGAATCCTTTCCAGCGCAGCCCGATAAGTAACCCCAGAAGCGACGTTGAATCTTAAGTTGAAATCCATCTGCCATCCCTGCTCTGCCAGCTTGGAAAGCTTCCCACACAAAGCGGTGGTACCTAGCCATTCTTGTGCTTCTCAGACATGTTTGGTCTACTCCCTTTGTCTCTGTAGACCATAAAGTACGGCTGCTGGTAAGTACAGGCCTTGCTTGAGCTCAGGTCACCCACACTGAGCCTTATTTTCCGTCACCTGATCTCCCGATGCCTGGCCCTGTGCGTGTGAGCCTAGATCAGGCAGTCACACCCAGAGCTACCCAAGTATGCCAGGGCTGGCGGGGTGAAGTAGGCTTGAGAAAAATCAAAGCTAAAAGGGTCCCTGAGATAGTGGGTGCCAGCCCTCACCTAGGAATCCCAGGGTACTGTCCATGTTTATTTTACCGACTAGCAAAAGCTGAATTATGATTCACCAGCCATGAGGCGACCTCCTGGCACAGCCTATGGAAAAAGCAAGGCAGAGAGGGCTGAGGCATCATTAGAGTGTCTGTCACT